AAAATCATTTTAGCTTTTAAGCTAATCTAAAAGTCAAAACTTTTAGATAAGCGTTTAACAATATTTTTTTAGTTTTTAATTATAAGAACTAATTTTTTTTTCTGACTTTGGTTTAGTACTCTTAAATCTTCTTATTTTCATTTGTAAAGCGTTACGTACAAATTTATGTAATCGTAAACGTCTTTATGTTGAGTTTGATGGCATTTTATGGAATAATCACGTATACCCAGCCGGCACAACTCAGAAAAAAGTTACACTTGGTTTCTGTTGCGTTTTTAAAACCTTCTAAAACAAAAAGAATAACACGTGTCAAAAATGGTTTTTATTCCGTGAAATTAACAATTACTATTTACCATAAATACCAGTTAAGATATTAATGGTTTCACCGTTATGGAAACGTAGTATTATATTATAATAACTTTCTGTAAGGAATGCGAAACCACTGATAAAACCATGTGACATCTAAATTTGACTTCAAAACCTCAAAAAGCACGTGTTAAACTCGATTAAAACTGCCCGTAATTTACACGTGTTTTTGCTTTACGCCTGGATCGTGACAAACACGTGTTTATAGAGGTTTTATTTCCGAAAAAGAAACTAGATGTCCCGGTAGGGTATCTATATATCTATAAAATAAGAAAACTTGAGAATTTTATTTTAAACTTTAGAAATCTTTTTCTCTATTCTTATTTTTTGCTGTGAATATATAAGAGTCATTTTTTGTAAGAATCAGGCAGTCAATGGAAGTGACCTCCTCCAAATTGCTTGAATTTTTTATATATTGATCAGAATATAAAGAAAACCTGTTGAGGAAAAAAAAAATTTTCAAAAATGTTTCGTTCACTTGGAATCTGGGCTTAAATTTTTGAGATTTTTTTAAAAATTTTTAGAAATTTAGTTTTTGCCACCTTTGAACCCATTTTTTTGGCAAGGCAAAAAGTTGCACATAGCTTTTGTAGTTAATATCAGACGTAACCCAAAAGCTTTCTCCAAAAAATATAAAAAAGTTGCGTGACACTGAGCGGTTGGCTAATTATCATAGTTCAAAAGTACAAAATCAATCAGTTTTGTCAATTTTTAACCGGAGTTAATTCTAGCGGCGAATTGTTGCACACAATTTTTCTTTTAGGATTTGAAATTATCAAAGGTATTGAGTCTAAAAATGCAAATAAAGTTATGTGATACGTAAGGCCTATTAATATATTAAGGCTTGAAATTGGAAAAAAATGTTATAGTATACTTACAAAATGAGCTATTACGGCAGAGGCGCTAAGTTTTGTAAAAATATAATCATGTTAAATGGTCAATATAAGATGACCTTAACATAGTTTAAAATAAAACTCATGTCATCTTTAGATATTGAGTTAAAAATAAGTGTACAAATTGTTAAAAATGATTAAGTACGAAGAGATATTTTTTGGACACACAGATGAGGTTTTCGCTCACAATAAAATTTTTATTATCCAAAATTAGCAATTAGCATTACACAAAACATTGCACGTAATGTTAAGAAAAAATTTAAGCGTTTCTGACTATGATATAGAAATCATAGCAATTGAAATAAATAATAATAAAAAACAATACATGATCAGAAGTGAATTATTTAAATTTACGTCATAATCAAATAACTTGTGGTGATCGAATGGAAGAAGAATCGCTTATATCATGATTGTGGAGAAACAAGTTAGTGGGCGGTTGTTTACTTTACCATAAAAATGTCTTAACTTTATTTTAACGATCTTTAAAATTTGCATAAATAGAGTAGATATTTTATCATTGCTATTGAGAAATAGGTACTGCATAAATAGAACTTGTTTTTAGTTGAGTATGGAACAAAACAAATATTTTTATGAAAACTGTTGTTGCTTTTCAAAAGGAAATTGTGGATCATTCAAAAAACATAAAATTATAAACAAAAGTTTCTACATTCATTAGCTGGGAGATGTTGATGTTAAAAAACACCTCATCAACTTAAAGGTAATTATGTATTTTAAACGCAGACTGTAATATAATTTTTATAATTACATACTTTATAACTTCTCTGCAATAAGATTTTGTGACAAAGTTCTTTAAACAAAAAAAAATAGCTCTTTTGATTAATTCCTCACTCTTTTAATAAATAATCACTAAATTAATCACACTCTTGCAATCTTGTATTTTAATAATAACAACAATGTATTTCAAACTTGTAAATATTTTTCGTGAAGAGTCAGATTATAAGCAATGCTTTAAATGACACACTTAATAATTGTTTGAAAAATTGTTTTTAGGTCATGCGATTAAACGATAATAATATTTGGGAAGAAAATGGACTTATTGCAAATAGACTTAAAAGAAATCTTGAAAAGGATGAACAAATATGTGCTTTTTACCGGTACACGTTTGGTATTGCATGGAGTCCTCCAAAAACATGCTTTCATCCTCACCATCTAAATATAAAAGAAAAAAAATCTCCCGCTTTAAGGGCGTCACCAATACATGTCGTCATATCAATGTCAAAGCGATACAATGAAGTATTTTCAGTTTGTGCAATGCTGTGTTTTACCCATATAAAGCAAGAAACTGCTTTATCTAGAGTCAACGAAAACACCAATTTATGTACAGAAACACAAACACAACAAAAACAAACATATATGACACCTGCTACTCCAGATGAAGAATTTGATCCCCGTGAAGTTAATGTTTCACAGGAGATTTTGGACGAATCTCTAAGAAGCCGTGAGAGTGTAACTGAGGTTCTTAATGCAAGTCCAATAAAATTTAGATTAAAAAGGAAGTTCGAATATCTGAAAGATACTACTAAAGATAAGTTAAAACGCAAGTATGTTCGCCTAGAAAACTTATTAAAGAAAAAATTTGCGGAAGCTGTTGCTCCTGGACAAGAGGAAATACTTATAGATTTTTTTAACAGTAAAAATATTGATGAAATAAATAGCCCTCTCCCAATTGAAATTGTTCGTGCTCAGAAAGTATATAAGCAAAGTGATTCCATGGGAAAGTTAGTTATCCTCTCATTATTAGACCATACCAAGTATACCAAAAAGTTTATAATGAACACATTTGAGTGTACCAAACATCGTATAGAAACAGCAAGAAAATGGTATGCATCTCATAAAGGGTTGGCATTTCCAGAGAAGAAAGTATTCGTCCGATCTAGTCTTGATCAAACAAAGTGTGAACATTTCTTTGACTTTATATTTACAAGCGGTATTTTGCATGATGTTGCTTACGGAATAACCAAATTAAAATACGACAGCGGTGAAGAACAAAAAATGGTGCATGCAATACTGACGGCAAAATATAGCCACGCTATCATGTTCTATCGAAAAAGTTGTAGTGAAAACAATTATATACCATTATCTGATTCAAGTTTGTGGAAAGTATTGCATGCAATAAAACCTTCAAGTCGAAAAAGCCTAGCTGGATTAGATGATGTTCCTGCTTCAGGCATGAATGGTTTTCAAACATTACAAAAATTGGCACAAAGATTTAGTTCTAAATCTCTTGAAGCTGCCCTTAAAAAAGGAAAAAAGTATTTGAAAACAAGTTATCAAACCAATTGTAGTGTCAATGACTCAAACATTTCTTCTCATAGCTCAAAACATGCCTTATCAGATCCATCTGAAAAAAATCTTCAATCCAACACAGAGATATCAGAAGTGGTATGTGCCGATTGCTATGATTTGTGCAAAGCTATCGAGATGATCAAAGAACTAACAATTCAAAATTCTGACGATGCTGATTCTATTTATGATTTGGAAATTGCTGTAAAGGATGTATTCAACTACATAAAACACCTGATGAGAGATTCTCAACAGAAAAAGGCAAAAATCGAAGCTTTTAAGCAATTAAACGATGAAACTGCTTTCTGGCTTAATGATTTTTGTCAAAAAATTCTTCCGGTTCAATACAGAGAGGTCCAAAGAGAGTATTTTGGCAAGAAAGGAATGAGTTTACATGTGGATATATTCTTCATAAAATCAGCAGGAAAGTTATTCAAACGTGTTTACTTCAATGTGTAGGTGTGATCAGGGAATAAGTGATGTTGTTTCGTTAGCCACTGCAGTTTTAGACCAATTCAGAATTGATCAACCGCATATCAAGAAAATGTTTACCAAATCTGATAATGCCGGCTGCTATCAGGGAAATCTTTCAGCTAAAGCAATCTACAATGTATGCAAAGTGAGAGATATAAAGTTGCTGAGATAGGATTATAATGAACTCTGTTGTGGAAAAGATCAATGTGACAGGGAGAGTTCAGTTGTAAAGACAATTTTAAGGAGTTACGTTGACTCTGGTAAAAATCTTTTGACTGCTGAAAATGTACACAAGGCTATGCATTATAGTTTTAGCGCTAAAGATGCAAAAGTAGCAGTTCCTCAAATTAGCAATGATAAAACTGTAGTTACTGGATCAAAGATTAAGAACATTAGCAACTATCACTCATTTGAGTTTGGTGAGAAAAGTATGAAGATGTGGCGTTATTTCAATATCGGTGAGGGAATTGAACAAGAGTATGGAAATCTTAAAATTCAACCCTCGATTAAGTTGTTGTTGCCATATAGCAAAACAGATAATTCAGTTAAGCGTAACAAGTCACTTAAGGAAAAACAGAAAAGAAGTGACAGGCAATTATATTCATTAAGATTTTGCACTGAAATGAATTGTACTTTATCATTTGAAAGCGATGCTGAGTTAGAAGAACACATGCTATCCGGTCTTCATACAGTTCCGAAATCATTAACATCATTGTATAAAGTTCGCAACTCGTTTGTTCATAAGATGAAAATTACTTCATAACTAAATATGCCAATTTCTTCATCCTCTAACAGTGCTTCCGTAAAAGACAAACCACATTGCATGAACATTTTTCTATTGCAAGGTTGGGCATTACCAGTTCGAAGTTCTTTTAGATTTTCAAATCAGCAGAAAGAACTGTTGTATAAATACTTTATTCGTGGAGAAGAATCAGGTAATAAAATGAGCCCTGAGCAGGTTCACATGCAGCTGAGGAGAGAACTTCCGCCTGATCAATATGTAACTAGCCAACAGATAAGATCTTTATTTTCAAAGTAGGCATTGTTGCTATCAAAACTTTTGCAAATTAGGTTATGTTTCTGACTGTTAAATAGTTCTTTTACAAATATGAAATTAAAATTTAGGTGAAAGTTATAATTTTGTGTGTTTGTTTACATATGTTTAAAAATATGTACAATTGATATTGTTTTAGATTTAGTAACCTGAAAAGAAAAGGTAAGCTGGTAGAACCGACAACAGAAAATAATGAAAATAGTCAGGTTAACGATAACAAAGAAGTTTATGGCGAAAATGATGACAGGAGACAATGAAGATGATAATAAATATGGGGAAGACATCGCCAATCTTGCAAAAGAAATTTGTCTTGTATGGAAAGTGAATGATTGGGTTGCTGTTGCATATGAAAAACAATGGAATATTGGGTATATTGTGGAGGTAGTATTATTCAAAGTATATATTAGTTTCAAGTTTTTATTTTGTTTTACAAAACAGTGCTCTAAAATAAAGGAATATAAATAAAATGTAAAAATAATTTCAGAATGACATTATATAAGACTTTACAAGTTTTATTGAATGTAAGCAAAATTAAACAAATCATAAACTCTTTATTATATTATTTTAAATGTTGCGCTAATACTTTTAGGTATCTATAACTGGGATCAGAGTTAATTGTATGATTAACGGGCAAGAGAAGAATACTTTTTGCTGGCCAGTTACTACCGAGGAGATAAATAACCAAACTGATAAAATTATCTGTTTAGTAAATGCTCCTTTTCTAATCAGTGGTTGTGGCGATTATTCATTATCCGAAGAAGACTATAATACAGTCATATCATTATTCTTAGAGAAACTTACTGCAGCAGAGTAAAAATTATGTGTGATGTGGTGGATAATGTGTGTAAATGACTCTATTAATAAATGAAAAACTAATTTTTAAATGGAAAAACATTTAAATGTTTGATTTATGTTTTATTTAATTAGCAATATAGTTATCTTGATGTTAGATTTTTGTTCAGTTTTTAATTCATGTTATATCATGCGTGTGACAAAATCAAACGAATTTTTTTTATTATTATGTTAGGATCTCTTTGTATTGACAGTTGGATATGTTTACATTTTTACAAAACTAAGCGCCTCTGCCGTAATGGTTCATTTTGGAAGTATACTAAAACATTTTTTTCCAATTAAGGCTATTAATATATTAAGGCTTGAGCCTTAATATATTAATAGGCCTTAGGTATCACATAACTTTCTTTGCATTTTTAGACTCAATACCTTTGATAATTTCAAATCCTAAAAGAAAAATTGTGTGCAACAATTCGCCGCTAGAATTAACTCCGATTAAAAATTGACAAAACTGATTGATTTTGTACTTTTGAACTATGATAATTAGCCAACCGCACAGTGTCACGCAACGTTTTTATATTTTTTGGAGAGAGCTTTTGGGTTACGTCTGATATTAACTACAAAAGCTATGTGCAACTTTTTGCCTTGCCTAAAAAATGGGTTCAAAGGTGGCAAAAACTAAATTTCTAAAAATTTTTAAAAAAATCTCAAAAATTTAAGCCCAGATTTCGTTCACTCGGAGTGAACGAAACATTTTTGAAAATTTTTTTTTTCCTCAACAGGTTTTCTCTATATTCTGATTAATATATAAAAAATTCAAGCAATTTGGACGAGGTCACTTCCACAGTTTCAGGAATTTGCCTGATTCTTAGAAAAAACGGCTCATAAGCAATATTGAAAAAATTTCAAAATATACTACACTAAGAGGAGGTTTTGAACCCTCCAAAACAACACTAATGACAGGGCATTTAACCACTGCGCTATCAATGAAATACTTTTAGCAGAAAAACAAACCTAATTATAAGCTCTCATAAGCTCTACATATACGGAAAAGGTGCGCATGTTAAGTTTTTTGCTCTTAAATTTTTTTTCAGAATAAATTATTTTACTAAAAAATATTGAAGTAAATAAGGAACAGGTATAGAGATTTTTGGCTAGAAATAGATATGTAAATTGGTAAAGAGCTGTGTTTTATGGATCCGGAAAGCTAGGATATATAAGGGAAAAGTATAGAAAAGTTCGGTTTGGAATAGATATACAAAGACCCGTATTTTTACGGGGCCAATCTCAGCTAGTTTAAATAAAAATATTTAAATATTTGAGATTTCAACTAATTATTAGAAAATTTTGTTTTTTTATTTTAGATATGGCACTTTCAGACATTGTAAATATTCCAAATTTAGGTGCGTTCATACCTATGTCAAACAAGTATGCTTTGTAAAAATTGCATTGATTGAAGTCTGGGAGTAACACTATCCCAAATCATGAGCAGCACCTACTCCAAACATAAGGGCATTATATATGGATAAAATATTTCTTTTTACTATCTTTTACTGATTTTAAATTGACAAAAAGGTTTTAAACTTAGTTTGATGAATTTTCAGTATTCATAAATCATGAATATTTAAAATCTAGAACCAGTGCACAGTGGGAAATCACATGGCCAAAAATAAAAAAGTGACTTACTTTAATCATTATGTCTGATAGTGAGTTTTGTTACTAATATCCTCACTAAGAATATTCCAATTTATGAAATTCTAAATGTGACAGGCTCAATGGTAGTGGCTTTTTGAAGGAAAGGTTATAGTATAGACTGTTAAAAAAAAAAAATTCTTGAAAAAGTTGGTACTATAATTTTTCGCATTGAAAGTAAAAAATTCATCACAAAAATACTAAATTTTAACTTTTATAAAGAATTAAAAAATTGTTCCAATTTGTACCTTTTTCATATTTTCATATATTCTTTAGTCTATAGTGTCTACTAACTACCCTGAGAAGTGTGGCGATCATTAGCAATCATCAACGATCATTAGCAATCATTAGCGATCTTGAGCACTAAACAACTTTGAAAAATTGATGTTTTTGTAAACAAATAAAAAACTTCTTTAAATAAAAACAATTTTTTTCTTTCATTACTAAAAGTGAAATAAAACAACTACTTTAAGGCATGAAAGACTAAAGTAAATTTGTATTTGTGTTGTTATTAAAAGAAAAAAAGTTATTTTTTATTTTAATTTCACGTGTTTATGATTTTAAACTACTTAATTCAAAAAAATAATTATAAAGTTCATTTTTAATGTCCCACTAATCAATTTAAAACCACATGAATTTCTAAATGTTGTTAAAAAGTCTCTTTTTCCTTTGTAAGTTTATTATTGTAAACTAAGATAATGGAAGAAATCAATTTAATACAAATTGTGCGATGTTTTCAGGTTTCGTAAAATTCTTTTGAAAATGTAAATAGTGGGTTTAAATACATTATTACTCGGATTCAAGCCAGAGAGAACATAATAAATTTATTAAAAAAGATATTAAAACTAACTATTACTAAGTATGTTGCTCTATGGCATGCATCAAATCAAAAAAAAAAAAAAAATTTTGATAGTATAAATCAGGTTTGGCTTAATTAGATTTTTAAAACAATTAATTTAGTTGAATCACCAGGTAATGAAGAGGGTTTAATAAATGAATCAGCAAAAAGAGGTCGACCAATAAAGAGTTTGATGAATCGAGCTCTCGCACCAAAAGACAGTTAATAGCAAATATATCATTTGATTCAAAAACGGAAATTCAAAAAAATATTGTTAGTCGCACAAAGAACAGCATTTAATAAACGTGACTTTAATTTAGTCAAATTAATAGTGTTGTTTCAAATAAAGCGACACGAGTTGTTATTGCTTTACACTCAGCTATAGCTGAGTGTAAATATGTATAACTATATTACAAGAGAAAATGACGTCTGAAGATGTTTTTGCATATTTTTTTAAATAACAAACTTTCAAGAAGTGTTTATGAAAATACTCATAAAGAAGCATTATGCAGATTTCCATCTTATCGAGTAATTTCCGAAATAAAAAACGAGTGCTTACCTTTAGAAACATCCATTGACTATTCATCCATTGACACCCATTGTTACTGAAACAAAGGCTAAAGTTAAACTACAGGATCTTATGGATCACAATTTCAAGAGGCTTGTAAAACTACAGGAAAAAGAAACTTTAAAAAATTTCAAAACAACCATCAAGATTTGGATCTATTAGTCACAGCAACATCACCTCTTCGACTATATGTACAATCAGATTCAAACAATACTTTATGGAATAACATAATGTCTTAGAGAATTAGATTCTTTAAACCAATTATGCTGGAGTATATAAAAGAAAAATAAAGAAGTGGCATTAAAAATTAAAGAGGATATTGAAAAAAATATTCTTAATTTATATACTGTTAAAGTTTACCTTTTAGGACATAAATATGTTTTTATCAACTATAGTTATGTTCTTTCAATGACTGGTGGGAAAATCTTAGTTTACATCACCGACGCAATATTGTCCGATTTGTCATGCCACGCCTAACATAATGAGCAATCTAAAAATCTTTAAGGAAGGTTTTGTTACAGATGAGCAAGCAATGTGCTATTTTCATTTCACCATTCCATGCTTGGATGAGGTTTTTTGAATTTATTTTACATATTTCATATAGAGTTAAAATAAAAACTTGGAAAGTAAAAATAGTTTTAAAAGATCAACATTTATTGAGAAAAAAAAATATTTATGATGCGATGTTTGAAGATTTTGGTTTGAGAGTTGATGAAACAAGAGCTGGCGAATCAGGAACTAGTAACACCAGGAATTTATGCCGATGAGCTTTTTCTGACACTATTACTCGGCAAAATTTTAGAAATTGATGAAGAAATTATTATCAGATTATAGTACAGATTATATTCTACTTGCAAAGACCCAATTGATCCGGAAAGAAATGATAAATACTGCAATGATACATATAAGAAGTTGTTAGAGACATGATTGGTTCATAAAGACGAAGTCATTTGACATTTTCATTCAAGGTATACATACTTCTGATCCCCAAATTAGTTCAATCTCATTAACTAAAAGATTAGAGAGTAAGTAATATTGTGCCTACCGGAAAAAGTTAAAAGTTTGTTAGCAGTTTATAGCAATGATAGAGAAAATTTATTTGGTATGGAATCATATGAAATTAATGATATAGATGAATTATATTTAAATGTTGACAAAGTTGACAAAAATCTAGAATTAGATATAGGTGTTGTATAATAAAATTTTAAACTGTATAATCTGTATAATGTAAATTTATTAAATTAAGTATATAAAAATATTAAATAAATTATTAGAAATAAATTAATAGAAATTGCAGTGATTCGGTTCAAATCATTGGAGTTTGGAAACAAGAATATCCCAAAAGCTTATTTATTAGTTGTTTTTTTTATTATTTGTTTTATTATTATTATTTTTTTATTAGACTTTAATTCTCATTTAATAATCTGTTAAAGTTCGGAAGATATAACTGTATTATATATATTATATATTATAATTGTAGTAACTATAATAAAGTTTTCACCCCCTCCCCAAAATGAGGGTTTGTAAACTTTATATAATCATAACTTTTAAAAAATATAAGATTATTCAATGAAATTTAAAACCTGTTATTGAATTTAAGTTTAGTATAAGATAGCAGCAAAGATTTTTTTGGACTCATTGTCTTCTTTTTTTTTTTTTTGGGGGGGGGGGCTAACTTTTGGGGGTATTTTTGATCCCGGGTTTCAATCACCGCAATTTTTTTTGCAAAAAATTATTTTTTGACTTAAGCATGAACATAACAAGTTTGGAGCATTGGAAAGTTATCCATTATTTAAATGTCCGAAAATAACACATAAAAAATCAAACTGGTGCCCCCAGTGATCAAGTGAATTACCCCCCCCCCTCCCATCCTCCGCTCTTGCTGAGTCAATGAGTTGATTAAATACAAAACTAAAAAAATTTTATATTAAGACTCTATTTTACTCAATTAAGGCTAAATAAATACAACGATTATATTTTTGGCCACCTATTTCAATGGAATGTTCCCACTGTGCAGTGGCGGATTGAGATTTAGCGTTGTAATGGAGGGGGAGGGTGGATGGGAAAAGTCTAGGGAGCGACATGGGTTGGGGGAGGTACATTAACCCCAAAAAAAATTTTCTTTCGAGAATTGCACTTATGATAAATATATTTTATTGATGCTTTTATGTGCCATTTTATCATATCTATTAAATACATCTATGACACAAAACAATCTAAAATTTGAATTTGGTAAGTTTAATTTATTAATTTTAACAATTATTGTTAAAAAGAAAAAGAAACATTCAATATTATTACAATGGTTTGGTTATTTAAAAAGGTATTAACGCAACACACATTACTAAAAACGAGCATTTAAAAAAAATTTACTTTCCTGTTAGTTTATACAAACCTTTTTCTGCTAGATTTCATTTCCAGCGGGTACAAAACGTTCATAGGACGTCTTAAGAATATCATACCGACTTTTAATGTCTTTAAAGGGATGTATAGATATCTTACGGACGTCTGTATCCGTTGGTTTGAAGCATAATAATTTATTGATAATTAAAAGTTGATCTCAACCCTATCGAGAACCTGTGGGAGATTGTCAACCGCAGAATTAATTGTGAAGGTGTTCGTAATAAAGATCAACTGTTTGAACAAATCCAAAAGGCCTGGGCAGCGATTCCACAAAGTTTCATTAATCACCTGATCGAATCTATGCCTTGAAGATGCAAGGCTGTGATCGGCAACAAAAAATTTGCCACGAAATATTGATAGCGAAATACAGCTTGGTCAACATTTTGTGGAGTTGCACTTGTTTTGTCCAGAAGGAAATCAACATTTTTTAATACTTTTGATTAATTTATTAATTTTCGTGCACAAATAATGAACTTTGTGATGAATATAACTTGAAGAACGTTGTCTCTAAATAGTTACATAATTATTTCTCTAAATTGAAAAAATGCAGCCCTTTTATATAAAGAAACTAAATTAGCATTATTTGGTTGCACTTGTTTTGTCCGATACTGTAGCTTCGTGTATCAAAACTACTGTGATTGTGACAAATGTTGATAAAACTACAATGACTTTACAGTGACAAATGTTGACAAAACTACAATGACTTTACAGTGACAAATGTTGACAAAACTACAATAACTTTACAGTGACAAATGTTGATAAAACTACAATGACTTTACAGTGACAAATGTTGATAAAACTACAATGACTTTGCAAACAACTTTTTTTTTTAAAGGAAAATAACAAAAAATTATAAATGAACTGATTTCAACATTGTGGAGCAATTTAGATTTGTTTTTAACTGTTAAAAATGTTTTTGTCTAAAACCTTTCTACTTGAAACCTACTTGCGCTGGCCCTTCTTTCAAAGATGTGTATGCATCAATATCTCCAGCAATTACGATTGAACAACGAATGAAAGATGTAAATTCATTCATAAGAGAGAAATAGATGACATCATGTTTTCCTACCTTTACTATACTCTACATAATTTCGACTTTAGTATGGAAATACCTAAGTTTTGATTTTTTACAATGTCTAAAAAATGTAAAATAAACATTATTTTTTTTTTCCCGACAATTAGTTGTGAAATTTAAAAAAAATAAAAATGCGAGTTAAATAAAATTCTGCAGTTTAGCTGGATTTTTTCATATTTTTTTTGATATCTTTATTCAATTTTGTTTCTATTAAAATGAAAAAAAAACTTCCATTATATTATCCTATATTGTTTCTTATAAAGTATTTAAAATAAGTTTTTTTCAAGGCTACAAAACAACAAAGTTAAATACGACGACGTTCCTAAATGCGCATTAGAAATAAATGAATTCCTCATATGAATTAAAATTTTCCTACAAAATTAAAATTAAATAAATACAGAAAATTCTTATGAAGTTGGAATATTTTAAATTTTATTAGTTTGCAACAAGACGCTTTATACACCATTCAAACACCATAAAAAGTTTGTAATAATCATTCAGCAGTAGTCAGATTCTCAACTCCAATTTTCAGCGGATGAGTTTGTAATTGTTGTGTATTTGATCCTTCGGGTGTAACATAGATCTTTCTGGATAACCTAAAAAAAAAAAAAACGTCACAACACACTACAAATTTTGAACCAAAATATAGCAATTATAAAATAAAATTTTTTTTACAAAATTGATTTTCTTGATCTGGATTCAAGCACTGTGAATAGCAGCAACAAAAATCCCTGAAAAAAAAAAACATATTACACATCGTCGGTTTACAAGAGAAAGTCCATTTTTTGGCATTATGGAGTTATTTATACCAATATTTAGAATTTTAAATTCTTTATAGTTTGATATACCACACAAGTTAAATAAATCAATTAATAATGAGTTATGAGTCCTTATCAACGGCACAGATAAATGTCTGTTCGTCAACTGAAAGGCTGCCGTCGAGGCCTCCAAACCAAGATTGTCTGTCTAATACTACAATCCAACATTTACATCTAAATTCAACAATCACCATGAATCCTTCCTCTCTCCTAAACATCTTAAATGCTTCTACACGAACACGAGCTCGCTCTTAAACAAATTTGATAAAGTCAACTTTCTACTTGTACAAAGGATTATCCCAACGTACTCTGTGTCTGAGAGATTCGGTTTGACATAGAAAAGCCAGTTTTAATTGATAGCTACTCAAGACCTTTCTGCCTCTCACACTTCTTCGCGAGTACAAGTCGTTGTCTACTCTCATTGCGTTCGAATTCAACAAAGACAAAACTCTCTCTGGAGCTGGAAGCGAACAGGTATGGGTTCAAATAAATATTGGTTCTGAATGTATTCTATTAGGCTGCATCTACAGGCCGCTGAGCTCTGAAGCCACCATTAATAAAATCATCAACAAGTCAATTCGTTAAGCGTCCATTCTAATCTAGCAAAATAAATCCACTAAACTTCTCATCGTTGGAGACTTCAACTACCCCGAAATCGAATGGAACAGCTCCGGTGGGTACTCTACCAGTAATAATCTAAAGGCAAGCGCGTTCCTTGAAACTATCCAAGATTGCCTACTTACTCAGTTCGTCTTAGAATCAACATTCGGCAAAAATCAACTTGACCTTGTGATCCAACATACATATACAATGTAAAATTCGATTCTCCTTTTGGATCCACCAAAAAATCCACATTCACGTTATGCTTTACTGGGATTTTATAACTCAGGACTATCATTTAAACAGCTTTGACAAAAAATATAGATTATAAACGTACCAACTTTGAAAGCATGATCAGCTACTTCAACATCACTAATTGGGTTCTGGAATTTGCAAACTTGACAGTTGACCAGTGTTATGCCTGTCTATCAGAAGTATATATCACCGCCGTATCACTTTTCACTCCGACTCGCCGCAACATTATCCCACTCAAACCCGACCGAAATAGTTAAATAATGAAGTTAAGCAAGCGTCGAAAGAAAAATCGGCTACTTTCGCCAGACTTCAAGCAGAACCACGTGACCAAAAGCACCTAGTAAAACCGCTGTTTAACAAAGCTTTGTGCAGTGTAAAAAAAAAAAAAATTTCAAAACTCTCTGCACACACGAGCAACGCATTGTAAGTAAATGAAAGAATAGCCCTCGACTTCTTTATGACTTAATTAACAAGGCCAAAGACTGAAAAGATCGTATTCGAGCTCTTGAGAATAGCGACGGCCTACTAACATCTGACAGCACTGAGATTTGCAACTTGCTGAACAAACAGTTCTTCTCTACATGTAGGAAGGACCTTCCCGGTGATCATCCAATTCTTCAGCCACGCACGGATGAGATCAACATAAATGAAAACAACTTCTCTCATGCGGCTGTCGAGTTGCATTTCTACAAACTGGACAAATACAAACCACCGGGAATATAAACGGATTCCATCCGTTTATATTCTCAGAAGCCCGATCCGTGCAGGCCTTGCCTATCTTGCTGATCTACAAAAAGTCTTTCGCTACCGGTGCTGTTCCTACTCGCTGGAAGCAAGCCAAACTCAAATGGCGGGATCAAGTTGCACAAGCTGTTGCCAAAGCTAACAAGGCACTAGGTATCTTGAAAAGAACTTTTCATTATTGGGATATAAACAGCTTCCGCTTTAAATATTCAATCACTAGAGGATAGACGGTGTAGAGGCGACCTCATCCATTACCTTAAGATTTACCACGGCATTAACAAAATTGAAATCCGTAGACCAAATCAGTAAGCTACAGCATTAAGTGTGCAGGGACCTGTAAAATGCCTCCGAGGGCAATGTCATCAACTTCAACGTTGAGCAGAAACACACTGTGTCCTAAGAGAATTTTTTTTCTGCAATCGTATCGTACCTGACTGGAACTTTTTTTCGAATTCCTTTATATCTACCGTATCGGTCAACGCTTTTAAAAATAAACTAGAACTATATTTTCCTAAACTTTTACAAAAAAAACAACTGACATTTATCACAGCGGGGCTTTGTTAGTTGTCCTGCCTGAAAATGCTTAATCATTTGATATAAATTACTTATATTATTATTGTTATTAAGATTTTTTATTTCAACTATTACACAAAAACTTATCATTTTAACTATTACGCAAAAACTTATTTGTTTATTATCTCAAAATGATGTTTTTGAATTTGATGCATTTTCCTTGTACACCCCCTCCCCTCATTTAAACAAAAAACTAAAGTTAAATAAAACATTTTAAATGTTTCTAACAAAAGTAACCTTGTTGTACTTAGATAAGAAACAAAACAAGACCAAGGATAGTAACCTTAGGGTACCCCAGAAGTTAATAGAAATGAAAACGAGTGTTGGCCTTCAAAGATTTTTGATAAAACGGTTAGAATGAAATGATACGATAATCTCAAATAGTTTCACAGATATAGCAAATGAAGCAAGCCTATGGAGAACACCATAATGCAAAATTTTATCGAAAGCTTCAGTTATGTCAAGAACAATAGCCTTAGCCTTGTCACCTCCATCTAATGCGTGATAGAATCTTTTAGTCACAGCAATTAGCAAGTCATCCATAGAACGAGAGGATTAAAAACTGTATTGATTGTCGGACAGTAAATTATTTGGCTCAAGATGGGATGTTAGAAGTTTGTTGATCGAAAACTCAAAAACCTTGCTAATAACAGAAATAAGACTGATTGCACAGATACACAGAACTGATTGCACAATAACAGAAATAAGATTGATTGTAGGAGGGGTCAGAATGTTTCCTAGAGTTTATAAAAATTGAATCCACAAATGCCATTTTCCAACAAGCAGGAAAACAAAATTCAGTCAAGCACATATTAAATAGCTCAGAGAAAGTTGAGGAGAGTTCTGGAGAATATTACTGTAAGACTATGACAGAAAAGTGGCTTGGACCACAAGCCTAAAAAGAGTTTAATTGAGATAAAACAAACAATGGAAGCTGGAGTAATTTGAATGTCTAACAATAGGTTAACCTGTTTAACTTGAAGGGAAGGAATAGTATAGCTATAGGATTCAAGAGTCGATTTAGAAAATATTTTTACAAAAATTCAGCTTTATGTATGGGAGAGGTAATTAGATCAGTCTCATGAATGAGAGAAATGGAATGTTAGACCTATTATTGTTAGTAACACTGTTGAAGATTTTCCTCTACAGTTAGAAGTAAGAAGTCTCTACAGCTTAACTTCTTAGATAAATACAAGATTTAGTAATTTGGGAATAATGAAGCTTAGCATCAGGAAGCACCTTTTTAAATTGATTTCTTGCAATAATAAATAGGCCTTTGTTCTTAAAAGAGTTGCACTTTTGAAAAAGATGAAAAATGACTACAGTTAAATATAGCAGCTACACGAGAAGGTGATAACCATGGAGTAGATTGAGCCTTGACTTATAACCAACAAAAAAGAATAAAAGATTCTATTCCTGCTTGGATTCAAGAGGTTACATAGGAGGCGCATTTATCAGTGGAGAGAGAAATATCAGCCCAAGGACCATCAAAAAAAAAATCACAAAAAGAGTCCCAGTCAGATATAGGGTAGTCGTAAGAAGAGTGATGATAAGATAAGTTTAAAGAAATTTTATAAAAATCATTGGATGGTCAGAACCACCTGAAGGAGAACAAGGACAAACGAAACACAAGCTAGGTTCAGAGAGCCTAGCTTGTGTTTCATAAGTAAGGTAAGTGATTAGTAACAAAGTTAACAGAGTAACAAAGTTAACAACCTGAGTAAGAGATTTAAAAATGCAAAAGGATTTATGTGACTAAAAATGTGAGTTAAAAATGGACTTTAGTGCAAGCAGGGTTAGTGGTGTTATTTAATTATTTAATGTTTTGTTTATGTAATGTTTTAATCAAATTTTAAAAGTAAATTGTTTTTATAAATTTAATGAGCAATTACTAAAAAACCAAAATACGCAGAACTACAAAAACACAACTTAAAGCAATATAAAAAAAAATTCAATTTGACTCTTACATCAAACTTACAAACATAAAATTAAAAATACTTATTAACTTAAACACAATAATTGCTTACCAGAATTATTACTGAAAACCCAAATATCTAAAAAAAAACAAAAAAACTTCTTACCAATGAAATAATTGAAATGAAAACAACTAGTCACCAGAAACAACAATTTTATTTGTGAAGTGTTATTAATCAATCAGTGCTATCAAGCATTATTATTTTATTAGTCCTTATACAACCATTATTTTGTGTACGTTATTGTCAAATGTAAATAAATGTAACTATTCAATAAACCATTTTTTATCCAACTAGAACCAGAAGTGTACAGTTTACACTTTTTGTACAGGTAATACAAGTTTTGTACAGGTAAGCCCCATTTTTGACCTAAGTGTCACACTTTATATGTATACAATAAATGGTTAACTATTTCTTCATGTGTATACAATAAACGGTGTAAAACGACTCTTATAACACTAGTTCCTTGTGGTGCATAAAAATGCAAATGAATTGGTAAAAAAAACAATAAAACATAAGTTTTTCTATTCAAAAGTTATATGTTCTTAAACCTTTTGCTCAGATGTGAAGAAACTGATTATCTTAACAATATTTAAATTTGTAAAAAAAATTTTATGAGATCTTATAGTAAATTTTAGAGTTGCTTTGTATTTCAAAATTAACTTTCACACTAACAACTTACATTTTTCAAGCACATATCAGTCTTGCCCAGCAAAAACATTCTCTAACTCTACAAAAATGGTTTCTCATGGACTACTACAAAAACTGCATAAACATACTGACCTGATGCATATATATGAGGAAAACAAGTACTAAAATTTTCAGATAAATATCTAATGCAATTTTTTGAGAAAGCACTATTTAAATAGTGGATTATTTTAATAAAATATTCTTTTTCAAGCAAAAGTAATTTTTTTTAAAGCTTTTAACACCTTTTCAACTGATTTTATACATATATTTTTTTGATAATAATTATGTCATGGATACTTTTAGAAAAGCCAAAAGGAACCTCAAAATTTGACAGATGATTTTTTTCAATGACAGGCTCAGGTTAACTTTTATGAAGAGCTTTATTAGATTCAAAATTAATACAAATCAAAGTGGATGTTAATCTGCTCATAGTACATAAACACTTTGAAAATTTTTAGTAATTTTAAGATTAATCTCTAAATATTATTTTAGTAATTTTAAGACATATCAGTACTTTATAAAATTTCCAATATAACTTTCATTCATTAAAATTTTAAGTATTTATACATTTATTTATTTATTTTAGGTGCCCTAAGTCCTTACAGTCTTATCACAGAGCATTGTGGAAGAGCATTTTAAAAGAAATTCATGCCTCCTTCCTTACCAATGTTACAAAACTTGCCCAGAGATGGCATTAAACCACGGATCTCTAACTTCTGAGGGAAGTAGAGTAACCACTACACTACGGCTGCTTGTCTATATTTTGTCAATAGTCTATGTAATTTAGTCTACATTTATTGTCTAAATAAGCATTAGTATCATAAATTAATAAAGTTTATAATTAATAATGAGTTTCTTGTTTTATTAGTAAAGGGTTAAATAAATAGTGCCATCTTATTAAATTTAGATGAATTAGTATTTTTTAAAAAATTGTATAGTTTAAATCAAGAAATCTGGCTTTATGAAACAAAGTAAATCCAAAAGATACTGTTTATGATCATCACAAGAGACTTGTTAAGGTTCGAGAATAATTGTTTATGTAGACATTGTTGTAATCCTATAATTAAGCATGTAAAATAAATCAAAAACTTTAGGATTTAAATTAAGACCTAAAGATAAGATAAATAAAATTCAAATGATGTCTAATAATTGTTATCTTTTATAGAAAGTCTTCCTGATGCCTAAAAAGTTTGGTTTAATTCCTGGTCAAAAAATCTGTACTAGCTGCAGACAAACACTTTATTGCAAACATTACGTCACAAAAGAAAATGAACTGATACACAAAAGTTTGTTGTCAGTATATTAGGTAAAAATATTTCTTTAAAAAACATTTAAAAAATCGTGATTATGATAATATATGACTGATATTAAGTCAATGTCTGACAACATTAAAATCTGAAAAAAAACAACCTTTTTACGCTCACTCTTGATAGTTGAATAAAAGTATTTTTTAACTTTAAAAAGGTCTGTAATTTTTAGGTCCGGGTTTTTTTTTCAAGGTTTTGTCCAGGAAAGAAAGAGTATCAGTTAAAGTTTATAGCATAAAACAAAATATTTAAAAAACATTTTAAATATTTATCTCATTTAGTAAATATTACAGAACACCATTTTGTGTAAAGCAATCATTATTATAGAGTTATATTTTCAAATTATTGGGAATTAAGACCCAAGTGTGCATACCTATGGGGGTTGCTTCTGATCTGCAATTTTTGTTTGTCTAGGAAAAGCAGATTATAAAAAACTTTAAATATGGTTTTCTCAAAGATGACATTAAAAACTGACCTGATCTAAAATTTTCAGGATATCTATATCTATATATATATATATATATATATATATATATATATATATATATATATATATATATATATATATATATATATATATATAATATAATTTTATTGGTGAAACACAGTGTAAAATGAGAAAAATTTTTGTTGAGTGATTTTCTACTAATCTATAACTGCTCTGTTCTTTTAAGAACAGAGCAATTATTAATCTCTTTCTCTTTTTTATAAATACTATAATGGACACTGCTCTAAAGAGTTAGTCTCTTTTGTGCCATCTACTAAAATTCATTCTTGTGCCATTTATCATTCAATTAAGTCTTATCCTTTTACTGTGGTTATATTAAAGTCACTAAATTTAAGTTAACAAATTATTTTTGTTTGTTCTATGGTTTTTTTTGTTTTAAATTTTTTTTGTTCTATTGATAGTGCAAAGTTGTAGTTTCATGTAAAGTAACATTAAATCTTCCAGAACATTGTTGAGTTTTTTCATAAAACGAAATTAGTTTTTTTTTATTATGGTATGCAGTTGTTGCTGTAGTTGTTGTTTTATTATGAAGATTATTTATTGCCACTTATTTATGATTTATATTATTTATACTATATTGTTTCCTTCTGGAAATAATATAGTTTAATTTAACTGGATTTATTGGTTTTTCTTAATATAATGCAAAATTGTTAAACAAGGTCTTCATTAAACTTTAAATAAAAAAAATGGCAGAAAAATGCTTCTACCGTTCCATCATTAGATGTACAAACACTTACCAATTCTTCATCAATTTTTTTTACAATCAAAGTTTTAATTCTTCATATTTTATTTAGATTTGATAAGTATAAAAAAACTCTTTGTGATAACTCGGTCTATATTCTAGTATCTAGAATTGCCAATATTATTATATTAAATCCAATGTTTAAATAATATTGACAGGTCTTCTCTTGTAAAACTGAGAAATTCTTAACCGGCAACTGTTATGCGCTTTTGTTGCAAAGGTATGTAATCTTGCTATTTAGTCAGTCTGTAACCATTTAATTTGTGATGAGCTATAAACCTCTTATTTTTACTATTTATTTGAAACAACTACTTTAAAATATTTTTATTCATAATACTGTTAATAAATTTTAACTTTGTCAAGAATAAAAGGTATGTTAATAAATATAAAATAGATAAAGTTTATAAAACAACATACGTACTTGAGCTTTTACTTCTTTATTAGTTTATCCTGCAAATTTTATGTCCTTCAAATAAACTATAGCAAATATTTTTCTAGGTGATGGAAAATTTGTTTTCAAAAAATAAAGGATGCAAAGTCCCTTTGTAAACGTTGTTATGGAACATATTAACCTATAATCAACTAACAATTTTCTGGCAAAGGTAAGCCATTGTAGTGAGTTTATTTTTACTATAAAACTTATATTTGACTGGACAACAAGATTTCCATATCAAGAATAACCAACCAAATATGCCTGATATTACTTTAAAATTTTCCTAAAGTTCGTAATTATAAAGAGAAACCAAGTTACTAAAAAAAGTCAAAAATTTGTTCAAGAAACTAAAATTTGCTTAGAATTATTTTTTTTACTCATTATATTATATTGAGGAGAGTATCAATGGTAACTTTTTATTACGCACATTAGCATTTTATTAAAAACAAGCACATAACTTGAGATGTGCTTGTCCGCTTTCTTGAGATCCAACTTCTTTCAAACTTTCACTGGAATGTCAAAAAATTGATTACAAATCTAAAAACAAATGAATTTTTACTGAACCTAAGCAATCTAAATTTAAAAGTATATTTTGTTAGAATATTGCATGCAAAAATATCAAGGCAGAAATTTTAATATATATTTTTTTCTTAAACATTTTTTTAATTAAAAATCTTGTAACTGAAAGTAAATTGCTTAAATACTTCATTGGAAAGCTCTTAGCATTGATTACTGCTTGACAGCAACAAACCATTAAGTCAACCAGCTTCATAATCACATTATTGGTAATTTTTTCCCATTCTTGTTTCAGAATTTTCAATAAATTATGTTTATTTGATGGTTTTTGACATGAAATTTGTCGATCAAGGTGTGTCCATAGATGTTCAATAGGATTAAGGTCAGGATTTTGCAAATGGCATTCCATTAATCAAATTTTTTAGATCTTGAAAAAGTCTTTTACAATAGTTGAAATGTGCTTTAGGTCATTGAAATGCTGAATTATTCATCCTAAAGGCAATTTATTTTTAGCATGTGGTAGCATAACATCCATAATGATATCTTTGTACATATTTTTGTCCGTTATGCCATCAATCAAATGGATAAACCCATTACAATCTCTATTGAAACAACCCCAGACCATAACGCTTCCACCTCCGTGCCATACTATTGGTAGCTGGTGTTGAAGATTGTTTTTATGGCCTTTTGGTTGATAAACAAATCCTAATATCATAAACTTAGATTCATCACCAAAAAGTTCTTTCAAGCATTGTTCTCCTGCCCAATTCAAATGTTCATAAGCAACTCTAAGGTGTGCTTTTCGATTCTTTATAGAAATAGAATGTTTTTTTCAGGAAGTCTTTTAAAATGGATTTTTAGAATTTAAACGACACTTGGTTGTGT